CTAAGTCCCTACGATAGAGATTGGGGATCGTACGTTTTCCTTGGTTCACGGTGGCCAAATCAAGCTCTTGGCTCATTGGTCCATCCGTCCTCCAAACGTACACCCCTTCGGTTTCATGTTGGACGATTAAGCCCTCGGCTTATCGAACCATCCATGTTTCCGATCTGATCGTTTATCACTACGACCGCCCACGGTCTACTAACCGTTTACCCGTACGGTCCATGGTGGTCATAACGCCTTCGGCTTACCGATCCATCCATGCGATCCGAACAATATCATTATCACACCCAAGGGTCCGTGGATTCACCCATCGGATTATCGTAGGCTAGCCCATGAAATCATTCGTCCGTCGGCCTTTGGTTTGCTCGCGGGTCCAATATCCGTTTTGTCCACCGGTTCTCACCGTAGACTTTCCCGTTGGTTATCCGTCGAGTCACCATTGGTGTTACCGATTCCTAATCGGTTTCACCATCGGCCATGGCGATTGATACATGAAGGCGGCCGCGATATTAGATCCTTACATGGTGAACCACGTCACTTACCCATTCTCGGTGCTTACTCCCTTTACCGGTGAGATTGCATCCATGGGCGACCCTTGGGTGTGTTCGGTTGCACTTATCCTCGTTCTTCTTCGAACACCTTCCCCTTATACGCCTTCCCGATTAACTTCCCGTTATCCATATCATCTATCGGACTATCTTTGGATTCGTCAATACTTCCATATTGACAATCTTAGATTTGCCGATCCATTTCCTTTTCGTGTCCTTCCCTCGACGATATGATTCATAGAACGGACGATCCATCGACCCCATAATCGAGCTATCGACCCGAACCATCAATCAAGTCGTCAAACCCTTCGGCGGTTCCCATCGAATCCTCGATCATGTAATCCGCCATGTTCCCTCGACAAGATCTCCGATACGTACCATCGGTCATCCCGCCGATCAGTACAATCAATCAATCCGCCGATCTAAACCTTTATCCGTTTATCAGATCGTACACCTATCCGGTCATACGTCGATCCGACTTGTTGACACGACGATCGATCTGCCTATCCCGGTCGATCGATCCGTCTGTGCGATGGTCTATCCGGATCCGTCTTCTTCTCCGATCCGATCCATCCGTACGACGAGCAGTTTGTCTGATCCGCTCTGTCTCTAAGACGATCGGTCCATCCCATCCATCCCTCAATACATTCTATCGAACCATTGGATCGGGAGGTAGCATGCGCATCAGTTCGGTCGAGGCTCCGAGAATCCATTCCGATTCCGGAGATACTCGCCGAGCCGCACCCCCTTTCTGACCAACACTTCATAGAGTGTTTTGGGACCCCGTTTGGGTTGTGATGGTGATTGTGAAGTGTATGTGGATTGATTGTGAAGCCCTTGGACGTCCTCCCTTATATAGGGGCCGAATGGGTGTGTTTCCGAAACATCACATCCATTCGTTGCACCCTTTCGAAAGGTTGCGTCTTTCCGATCGTAACCGTTCGGCCTTATCCACCCTTTGGCCAACGGTAACCGTTCGTCGGTAACCGCTCGACCTTACACCTCTTCATCCCGAGCTACCACAGTCCACCAGCTCGAGTGTCAGCTGACCGGACCACCCAGCTGGGTTAGTACTCGATCAGTTCACCGAGCTCGGTTGAGCTGTCGGTCAGCTCACCTAGCTGAGCTAGCTAGTCATGCAGCTGGTTTAGCTCACCTAGCTGAGCTAGCTAGTTCATCCAGCTTGTCCAGCTCACCTAGCTGGTTTAGCTCGAACGTTCTTTCGCGTTCTTTCCGGCTAAGTCTTTTGGTCCGTTTTCTTGGCCTTGACTACGCCATTCCCAATCTTTCCGTGATAATTTCTCCATGATCACTAGATTATCCCGATGTCGTCTATGTCATCTACCCTTTTCATGACTTAAACGTTTCATTCCTTCCTTGGGTTAGCTTATTCATTGGTCTTTCTCGACCATGATCTAGTTTTTCCTAAAACAAACCGGCCCCCCTTTAGGATCGCAGGACGCGGGTGTTACAGTCCCAAACCACCCGTGCGGGATCCGACACCAACAATTACAGGCATCGAATTCCCTAACTCTCTTTGTGATTCTGGTGCTAATGTTAATGTGATGTCAAGATGTGTTGGATAGAAGCTTGGATTGCGAAACTTGTTTCCATCCAACCTTAGCCTAGTCTTTGGAGACTCATCCCAAAAGACTCCCGATAGATTAGTTCGTGACTTGCAACTAGTCATAGGAGATTGCATAGTCCCTACCGATTTCTACATCTTGGAGATGGATAAGAAGACCGAGAGACCTCTTATTTTGGGAAGACTCTTTCTTGCTACCATTGGTGCCATGATTGACCATAACCGCAAGAAGACGATATTTGCAAACATCAACAAGACGATCTCTTATCCGATGATCTCTAAGACAAGCCCTACTCAAGTAAGTCCTCTACTTGACGATCATATTGGTCTCGATATCAATAAAGTGGAGATAAGCAACCACGGAGTTCGTAATAGAATCCTAAAGATGCAATCCAAACTGCCCGAGCCGCCTCAAATTTCAAAGATAAAGATATTTGTTCTTCTAGAGCTTAGCAATATGAGCAAGGATCAAATCCAAGAGATGATACGGCACACTAAAGAAGTTCTCCTCCAAGCTAAAGTTTTTGAAACTTTCGCTATAAGGACAACTTGTTATAGAAGTCGGAGCTGACTACCAAGACATCGAGGATGCTAAAGGAAAGGCGATTCCCGAAGCTACTTTCCACCAAGCCTAACCGACTTCCCAAACGTCGAGCCAACGACGTTAAACAAGTGCGCTTAGTGGGCGGCAACCCACTCGTAAGTTTTTCAATTCCTTTTTAGTTTTGTTTTACTTTAGTTTTGGTGTTTTTCGTATTTACAATTTCAGGTCTTTCATAAAAATCACACAAACAAAATAAAAAAGAAGAAAATCAGAAAATCAAAAAGAAGAAGGACCGGTCATGACCCCCCGTGACCGGTGCCACCACCACACCCCGGACCGGTCACACTCGTAGTAACCGGTGTGTCCGTGAAGCCACAGACCGGTCACGACCCCTTGTGACCGGTCCCCGTCCGAGCATCGCCGCATCGACCCGCATCCGTACCGCTCGTCGTCCCGCAACATCGCCCATTCACCGTCCCGCATACGTACCGCGATCGTTCCATCGACCCGCAGTCTCGTACCGCGACACGTTCGACCCGCGATCGTACCGCATTGTACCTCCACGTCTGATCAAATGATCTATGATTGAATATCTACCGATAAATTGGAAATTTCATGAGTAATGATCGAGAGAGAATTTTTAAAGAAGGAGCCATTCGCGAGATAGAACCTCTATAAATTAATACTCGATAAATTAATAAACACTATAAATTAATAAAATTGTCCGGTACCAAGTCGGGCAAATGTAAAATTTGACAAAATTCGATAAGATAATAAGATAATAATTTTTTTAGAATCTCTATATAAATATATGGTCCCATTAATATCCTAAACTAATAATCACGTAAATATATATATATGTTGTTATACTAAGGTATGCTTTTAGTTTTTTTTTTTTTTAAATTGAATATATTTTTGGTTGAACCCCATGTCTAACTTTTATTGAATAAAACAATTGGTCTATTGTGGTTTTAATTTATAGTGGTGTAGTATAATCTATAACTATATCATAAAATAGTCAAGATTTTCAAACTATTAAAATTTCAAACTAATTTATAATTTCAAAATTTCAAACTATTAAAATTTCAAGTCCAAAACTACAAAATTTATAAATTCATTTCTTTCTAAAATTTTAAGAATTAAAATATATCTCTTTATAAATTAATAAATATTAATTTACACTATAAATTAATATTTATTAATTTATAGATAAATTAATATTGGTATAAATTAATAAAATATCATGGTCCCAACAATATTAATTTATAGAGGTTTCACTGTATTACTATTCAGTCCATCCGAGCCATACCAAACGACGAAAGTCGACATGATCAGAATCTCTCGAGATTCAAAATTCATCCGCAATATGCTTATTCCATAGCATATGATCGAGAAAAAAATGCCCAACATCAGACTATATTGGAAGATATGACGATTACAACACCAAAAGAGCCGTCACCGTACCACCGATCCCAACTTCGTGCAATTGACTTGAGAAGAGAAATTCATCCGGAAACTAGCTATTTTGAAGAGAACGGTCGAGAAAAACAAGTCATGATTCGGAGTGGATTGGAAGATATCGACATAAAAGTACGTCAAATACTTATTACTAACCCATTGAAGTTTAAACGTTTCAGGAACTACTTTGCATCAAATTTCTATAAGTAATGTGCCCATTCCGGAGACAATGACCGAGAGAAAAACAACAGTTTCCGGGATAGACTGGAAGATGTCCGAAGAAACTCTTCACTGTGATGTACCCGTAACACGTGATTTCAAAGCCTTTCATTAGATGATCCGGATTTTGAATAGAATTCCTCAAGAATTAGGTTATTTTTTATGTTATTTAAGATATTAAATCGATTTACTCTTTTATGTTGAAACTTATATTTACAATCTAAGGGTATTTTTATTATCTTTATTGAAGTACCCATGCATTACGGTATCTATAAAAATTTATTTTGCTATTTCTCGTCCCCGTTTCCGTATCCGTTTTTAGTTCCGTATTCGTTTCAGTGCTACTTAGATTATTCATCTAATCAATCAAACTGCATAATATTAGATTAACTTATTATTACTAATCTATGTTACATTTAAAATAATACTAAAAACAGAAAAGTGAAAGAAGAACGATTTGAATTTATAGAAATATATACACATACTTGTTCGTTCGGCTCCAAGAGTTGGTGTGGTGACTTGGTAATGGTGAGCAACGTAACGATTAACGTTAACGTGAGAGACTTCACATAAAAGCTAAATAGCGTCAAACTCTCAAACAGGACGAGAAGAAGTGACAGTGAAGAAGATAAGGCGATACAATATCTAATATTAAACCCTAGAATAAGCTCTTTTATTCCTTTTTTCGTCTGAATTAATTATGATATAGAAACCAAAGGTGAAATATAAGGGTGGAATACATGTTGTAATACAAACGCCAGTGGGACTTTAACCCTTAGAAACTTAGCCGGCGGGACTTTTAACTCTCGGAAACTAAGCCCCAAACAGAGGGAGACAGATGAAAAACTAAAAACAGATCTAAACAAGATTGAAGATTTTACACAGAAAATCAATTTTCTTTTACCCGAACAGTCCGAGATCGCAAAAACTATCAGGTTGTCGACAAGGGAACATACCACAACCTAGAAAGACTCCGATCAACTTGAATCACTTGGTGATTAAGAGTCTTCAGAAGAAAAACCTTGGAAAACCATGAGTGACGGAACGGTGGAACCTCAGCCAAACTAGCAGGGCCATTGAAATCACTATGGTTGGAGATGTCAAGTAAACTTGAACCGGTAAGAGGAACCCAAACCTGGGCGGATCTCGCCTTAGATCCGATCATTGAAGCTGTGGGAGGAAACCAAAAAATTGGATCGCCCAAACCGATCACCACGACACTGACCGTGAGTGGCTTAGAGCCATCGCGGTTTGGACCATGGAAAATCAGGTAAAGAAAAGAACTGAAACCTGCAACAAAATCAAATCAACCAAACCTTAGATCTCAAAAGAGAAAATATGGGAAGGAAACAAAAATTCGAAACTAAACTTGAGATCTCTTCACACACAAAACTAAGCTAGCTAACTAAACAAAGCCCAAAAGCCAAACCGACGCCGTGGCTTTGGTGGCCCACACGCTCCGGCGGAAACGAATACCTAAAGCGGCGGCAAGTATATGAAGAGAGAAGGAAGAGCTATTTTTAAGAGAGAGAAAGGAAGGGATGACCATGATCTTTTATTCCTTTTAAATTTGGGATTTTAATGAAAAAATAATTAAAATTTCCTATTTTCATAAGGAAATACATAAAATATCTCATAAATTAAATGTTGATTAGCCCCTCCTTATATATGTCGTGATGGGTATATTGTTTCTTTCATATCTAGGATTGGCAAGTATGCTACGATTTTGTAAAAGAGATGTGATAGGCACGCAATAGTATAAATATAGGGGGTGATTGGATTAGGCTTTTAAGACTTTAAAAAAAGTTTAAGAGTTTTAAAAGTCTATTTTCCCCAATCAAGCTTTTTTTGTTTTAAAATTTTCTAAAGCCTTCAAAGTCTCTTTTTTTTTATTTTTTATTCTTTGTTTTCAATTTTTTTTAAAGTCACGTAAATGAGACTTTAGAAATAAATAAATTAAAAGTTTATAGTTTTTTCTTTTTCTTTTCACAGATACATGTAAACTCTCGTAACGTTCACAAATAAATTAATTTTTTTGAAAATTTTCAGTTTATTTACAATTAATTTTTTTTTCTTGTTCTATTAAGATTCATTTTCCTATATATTTGGTAATTATTTAAAATTGTAATTTTTACAGTCACAGTTTTTTCCAATCGGTTATAAAATTTATACAGTCAAAGTCTTTAAAGCAAAAATTTCTACAATGAAAGTTCTTACAGTCAAAGTCTCTACAGCGATAATTAAAAGTCGTTTGAGAATTGGGATGTTCAATCTTTGCTAAGTGAAATGTTGTGTTTGTGTTGGTTATGGTTTTACAGGAAGCGTAAAGTTAGGGAGATTGAGGCGAAAAATAGAGCTGTTACGAATAAGAAATGCAAGAAAATGGGAAACTAATCCAAGAACATGAAGCAAAGAAGGAACTGAATTACATGTTACAATATATGATCATAGTTTTGCAAGACTCATTTTTTTGCTCATGAACAATATAAACTAAACCATGTCTAGAAGACTAGAACTATAAAATGGATATTTTACAGCAGATTAAGGGGCCGATTGGTAAGAACTTTTACTATAGATATTTACTGTAAACTTTTGGCTGCAGAGAATTTGACTGTAAAAACTGTGGCTGTAACTTTAAAATATTTTTAAAAGTCTAATTGGTAAATACTACGGTAGAAGCTGTGACTGTAAAAATTGTGAATATTATTTTAATATCATAACAAAAAGATTTATTAGTAAAAAAGTTACAAAAGTTTAAAAATAAACTAATAGATAAATATTTGAAAGAAATAAATTTATTTATATTTATTATTTCATGGAGAAATTTAGTACCCAAAAGCATAAGTAAGAAGTGGGATAAACTAGCATTTTGTTATAATTCGATATTTCTAAGATTTTAATTAATAACTTTATAATTGTAAAAATATTTTATCAATTATTTGTTTTTAACGAAATAATAATATTGTACATTGTATATTCCATTTTGATTTTCACAAAATTATATGGAATATATATTTGCAAAATAAAAAGATTTACCAAAAAATAAATAAAAAAGGTTGATACAGTCTATGAAAGTCACGTTTGTGAGGCTTTAGAAAAAATAGAAGGAAAGGCAGTTAGAGAAAATTAAGGGACTGTTAAGACTGTAAAAATAAAAAATAAAGTAAAAATGTGATTGGATAAATCATGGCTGTTAATACTTTTAATTGTAGTAAAAGTCCTTACTGCATTACACCAATCACCCCCTAATTTTGGTTACAATTCAGCTCGAAACCTTAGGGATATGCTAGGTAATTATATTTGTTCTCAAAACACAAAATATAAAAGTTTCTAGTACCAAGACTAATTTTATTGATAAGTTTATGTCACGATCAACAAAAGGATGTCACTAAATCAACACAATTATATGTTATTCAATAATTTTTTCTTGTTTTGGATATCTATTTTTTTTAGAGTTATTTAAAAATAAGGCATTAAAACACAACTGCCTTTCGCTTTTGGGCACTTTCCAAATGCTTTCATGATTTAGGCATCGAAAGTCAGCGAATTGACCGAATTGCCCTCCTCTCGCTGATGTCATTCTGCTACACTCTCTTCCATGCGCAAGCTTCACTTTTTGGGAGAACAGGTACTCCGACGAATACCAATCGATCTCTCGCTTCCAATAACCTTCTTGTACTTTCTACCAGCGATCTCGGATTTACCGATGCTTTCGAAAATCTCGTCTTTATCCTCCGTAAATCTTCTTCCTCCTTGAAATATCTCCTTGGTTCCTCCGGGGTTCCTCTCTTCTCCACCTCCCGTCTCCGGATTTTGTGGGTACTATTTATGTTTCTCTAAACTCATTACATAGTCCACACGAATTTTCAATATTTCAATATATCTTTTTACTCATTTGGGCTTTGTTTGTCAAATTCAGTAAGACAAAGTTAGAAGTCTGTTTTACAGGCAAGATTCCATTGCTTGGCTCTCTTAACTGGTCTTCCTCATTCGTTTCAGATTCAATAATCACTGAGGAATGGAACTCTTTGTCTAACGGTAAGGAAATAATATTTGGCAATGTGCACTTTATGATTGCGAGTTTAATTGGTTTCGTTTTGAGTTCATTCATATGTCTTGTATTTGGGTATAGTTTTGAATACCACCACAAAGTTAAATTGGTTTCTCTTGGGTTTAGTCATCTGCCTTGGAATTAGGGTATAGTTTTGAATACAACTACAAAGTTAAATTGGTTTCCCTTGGGTTTAGTCATCTGCATTGGCATTAGGGTATAGTTTTGAATACAACTACAAAGTTAAATTGGTTTCCCTTGGGTTTAGTCATCTGCTTTGGCTTTAGGGTATAGTTTTGAATACAACCGCGTCGTTAAATTCGTTTTCTTTGGGTTCATTTTTCTCTCTTGGTTTTAGGGTATAGTTTTGAACACCACTGCATTGTTAAATTGATTTCCCTTGGATTCATTCAATATATAACTTCATTTCTTTCAGCTAATTTCTAAAGATACAAATAAGATAGGGAGATGGACGTGGATAGATGAAGATGAATGGAGAGCTTCTCCCATCATCTCTCAAACAGTCATTTCTTTCAACAATATATTACTAATACATACATAGATCGTGGATAAAACAAATATGTAGCTTTGGACAAAAACAGTCTTTTATCGCTTTTATTTGATGAACAAAACAAGCTTCTTCTGTTGCTTATGTCATCACATTGGTACCAGAAGAAAAAAAAATCGCGCTTATTAAGTTGAAGGGCAAAATAAATCTTGCTTATTAAGTTGAAGAGCAAAATAATCAGACATAGTGATGTTTGTGTGCACTGTGGTACCTTTCACTATAGCAATGCCTGTTTCCGAATCTCTCTCATCAAAAATGCCTGTTTTTTATAAATTTCCCTTTTTTTATAACTTAGTCTGAAATAATTGTAGTGGTCGGTGAGCTAGAGGATATTAGAAATGTGTTCGTCTACTTGTTTTATTTAGGTAAACTGTTTAATGACATCCTTTTGTTGCTCGTGACATCTTTCTCATCATCATCATGCTCAAACCCGACATTTGATGAATTGTGTCTAATCATGCTTGCTCCACATACCTCCTCCACATCAACAATTCTCTTTTGTTTAAATGTGAAATCTATTCGAAAACATATAGAAAGTTATTTACAATGCAAAGTGGTAAGACATATAGAGAGTTATTTGAAATTTAGTTGCTCCACATATCCTCCATATCAACATTTTCAGTTTACTCTGTGTCATTGGCAATCAAAACTTTGCGGCCAACTCCTCAATAACATACTCTTGATGAATCTATATGATTTCCAGCCACCATTTGATAAAGCAAAGAGCATAGCACATATAATTTGAGTAAAAGCCAGTATTGGACTAAGTGTCAATAATTCAATTGGTAAAGATTCTCAGGCAAAACCTAGAGATCGGTTATATCGGTTTAGATTCACAATCGGTTTAGCCAAACAAACCGAACCTAAACCAAAAAAAAACAAAATCTCGGTTCGGTTTGTTGGTTCGGTTATATCTCTGGTCTACGTATAATAATCTATTGTAATATGATGGAAAATAAATTAAAATATCATATGCATGAGACAACAACAAAAAAAAAGGGTAAATAAGAAAACAATTGGGGATGTGTCTTTAGTCAAGTGGTTAAGTCAACTTGACTCCGCTTTCCCTCACCGGAGTTCGACTCCACTAAGTCGCGTTACCCCGCGTAGTAGGAATTGGCTATGGACCGGGCCTCGTCGATCTAAAGATGTAAAAAAAAAAAAAAAAAAAAAAAAAAAAAAAAATTAAATAAAGAGAGTACACCGCAAGCCCGACCCGGTAATAGACCCAAAACGACATCGTAGAAACAAAATAAAGCAAGTAAAAGAAAAAAAAAGATATAGAGAGAGAGACATTGATACCATCATCATCATCATCATCCAACATGGCATCATCATCAATCCTCATCCCTCCGATTCTCTCCCGTCGTAATCTCCTCCTCTCCACCACCATCGCCACCGTATCTCCACCACCACCTCCTAAACCACCTTCCCCTGACATCACAATCACCGATCGCGTCTTCCTCGACTTCTCCCTCTGTCCCACCTACTTCCGCTCAGATCCCTCCGCCACACTCTCCTCCACCACACCTTGCTCCGATTCAACTCCTCTCGGCCGCGTCGTTCTCGGATTATACGGCCGTCACGTTCCCATCACTGTTTCATCTTTCAAACGTATGTGTACTTCTTCTTCTACTTCTTACAAAAACACTCCTGTCCACAAAATCTTCCCTGGTCAGTATTTTCTCGCCGGAAGACAAGGAGGAGGACGGCGAGATACGGCGGAGGTTGGATATTCACTTAGAGATTTACCTGGGAACACTGACGTTGTTAATTCTAAAGCGTTTTTGCTTCCTCATGCTCGTGCTGGTGTTGTTTCTCTTTGTTTATCTGAGAATGATGATGATGATGACATTAGACTCGATCCTGATTATAGAAATGTTGAATTCTTAATCACTACTGGTCCTGGACCGTGTCCGCAGCTCGATGGCGGTAACATTGTATTTGGAACTGTTCTTGAAGGTAAAGATAAGCTTTTCTTGGGAACTCTTTTGGAATCTTGGAATTGAGTAGTGATTTTGGTTAGTTTCTCTTGCAGGATTAGATGTGGTGACGAGTATATCTTCGATTCCCACGTATAAGCCGTCGGAGAATATTAAACAGTTTAATGATTTTGCGGAGTTTCTTGGAGATGAGAGAGCTCAAAATGCAAGATCTTTGTGGAATAGACCTCTGAAGACGGTTTTCATTAGTGGCTGTGGAGAGCTTAAGGTCACTAATCCTTCACTTTCTCCAACTCTGCCTTAGTTATCGTATATTCGTATATATATATATATATATATATGTGTGTGTCAAATTGTGTTTATAATCATCATTTACAGTCCTGCTTCTTCTACTATATGAAAATCAAATTGTAATTCAATCCTACTCTGGTGGTTGCTAAAGATTAAGATAGAGAAGAGTTTATAATCAAAACATTGAGGTTGTTGTTGTTTGACTTGTCCTCTGGAACTAACCTTCCAGTCTGTAATCATCTGCAGAGAAAGTAATTTAGGATAGACCGTTGTTTGCGGTTTGAGTAATCCTGTTTCTGGTCTGGATTTTCAAACCAGTATTTTCTAATGTGAATCCCAATGAGGGTAGAGAAACGATTTCAGGTGTTTTTTAGTGAGTTAAAGTGTGGAATTTTTCAGTTTGTTGCGTTCATGCCATTTATGATTATGGGCATTGTGGATGTAAATACGAGAGAGAATGAAGTAGAATTGTGAGGGCTCCTTAATCAAACCAGATGAAGTGGAATTCGTAAAATTGGTGAGACAACTTCAACCGAACTTTGTTCGCTATGAGGGCAACAATGTTCCCTTAGTAAGTGGAGATTACGGAGCAGACATTGTCTACTAGAACAAGGTAAGCTGTGGTGAGTACAGATTTGCAGTGCAAGAATGCAGGGAAGACACAGAAAGTGGATCCAGCAAAAACTGATACACATGAATTTTTATTGAAATCCTCTACCTACTCCATATGGATTTGTGAGGATGTTTCATTGGATTTGATTTTCTGATTTCTCTAATACCATCATTAAGTGCAATTCTAGGGGCCATGGATATATTTGAGTAAGTTTGCTCATCTCCTCTGCAGTGGATGTTACAGCCACTTTTTCAGAGATTTTCGGGTCATGGCTTTCCTCGATCGATGGTTTCAAATCGTTAGTGTCTTCTTAAGCTACTTTTGGATCTATTCCACCCACAATCTGGTGGTTTTTATTCACCTTATGACCTATGTAGTATGTATGATCGATTTGCTTCTTTTCAACGTAAGAAGTGATATTTTTGGCATTGGTATAAACCATCCTTCCATTCTTCTTTACAATATACATATGACCATGGAAAACTACATTTTCAAAGATATATCGTCTATTCTGGAACTGGAACAAGAGTTCATTATGAAACTTCTACAATTCTTTCATATTTCTCAATGTTATGGTCAACAAAAAAAATTGAAACGACATTAGCATTGGCATGCACATGTCAAATAATAAACAGTGTCCAACTATTATTATATCAACAAGAAGTTTTTTTTATAAAATCAACTTTTGTATATTTACAATTGCTAAAATATCAGATTATTTTGCTAGAATGAAAAATGTGATTCAATCATTAACGCAAAAGGTTTTGAACCGTATACGAAGACTCCGTCGCAGCCTTGGCCGAAGAAGGCGGCGAACGAGGCAGCCTAGCGGAGAAGTTGCGGAGCGGAAAGCGGTCGATGTTTTCGTCCTCGTCTCCTTTATCAAAGTTAAGCGCATAGCTCGACGGATCGTAATGAAAGTCAGCAGTATGGCGGCGAATATGCTTCCCGTGGCCGCCAACGCCGGTAACCCCACCGCCCATTCGATGGATCAGACTCTTGCACTTTTCATGTGACTTGGACAACGTCCTAGTGAGTCTTGGTGATTTGGTCTTAATTTCACCACCATGTGGGCTTTGTGTAGATTTCTCGGTGGTGGCCGGAGTCATCGGGGATGATGGCAGGTCGTCGGGGATGTTGTGGTGGTGATTGGTCGTACGAAAACATCCGGCGATGCAAAACCTTGATTTGAGTTTTTTCTTTAGAGACAAGTGGCTCATTGATTCGCTTCCCATTCTTTCAAAACCAATGTTTTGTTCTAATCAATGAGAAGAAAACAAAGGAATGCAAATGAGAAGGAAGACATTCAAACAGAATCAAATCTGCTTTAGAGGAAATAAAACAAAAACGAATAAAAAGTGATCGCGAGATATTCAATTAATTTTTTTCTTGGAATGAACTGTTTAACCAAAACTTCGGAGGAGGAGTTGAAAATTTACTATTTTAGGAATATTTGAATTTCCAATTGAAAATGATGGTTAAATTTCGTTTGAAGTTTGCATATTAATTAGGTATATGACTTGGTGAGCGAGGGGACATATTTAGGGTAAGAAAATCATTGATTTACCAAATTAGTTAAGCTTATAAAAGGTAAATGAATGATATAATAGAAAATTAATATTTTCTAGAAATTTTAAATAAATATTGTATATTCGAATATTTTATTTTAAAATAATATAAATTTTCATTTGAAAGCATTGTCTATTTATTTAATCATGCATATCAATTTAAAATAAACTCATAACATTCATTTAAAGTGAAAGTTTTGATAAGAGTTTTTTTATATAAATATATAATAAAATTACGAAAAATATTTCCACATAAAATATAAACATTATCATAAAAGCTATTATAAATTTATTAAAATATAAAAAAAAAGGAATTAATTTTGTCTTGTCCCTGTTTTCAGGAGCAATTTTGTTCTATCATTCCGGTTCTCTTTTAGAAATGGGAGATCCTTAGCAATTACTTGAAAATTAACATATCGAGGGATACGTTGTGATATTATTTGTAAAAGATGTGAAATAACAGAGGAAACAATAAATCATGCTCTATTAATTATTTTTGAGTTTTTGAGATGTTTTTGAGTTTGCGCTACCAGGTTGGCGAGCGGAAACCAATAATGACTATCATAGACTGGGAAGGATATGGGTTTGTTGGCGGGAAGATATAACAGTCCATATTCTATACAAAAGTTCACAAATCATCACTTGCTGGGTTACTTCAGAGAGTGGTGA